TGTGTCCAGCGTGGTGAAGACTGCTGCCTGTTTAGTCTATGACCAAATCTCCAAAGCATCACTGAATCTTTTCTGAATTAATTTGGAGGCTTCTGATTCAATTCAGACTTTTTAAATGGTCTCCCAATTTGATTCACATTTGGAGATTTGGCCGCCGAATCTCCTCTGAATCGAACTGGCTACTGAAGCTTTGCACAGCCCTACAAATCATGTATATGCTGCATTTTTAAGGTCTGCTATCTAAGTGAGCTATCAAAGTGAGAAGCAAGTAATAAATTTGTGTTGTACCCGGAGAAATGATAGAAAACAATGGCCAATTTTTTACCTTCAAGGTTTCAGTAGAGATGGAACAAAATCTAGTCATGATCTTAGACAACCGACACAGATCTGGAATGACAGTTTTACTGGACTTTACAAGCTAAATTCTTACCTCAGTCTCGTCAGTGTCAATCTGTAGTAAATCCACTGAAACCAAAACAGTTAGTTCAGGTTTCTAACAGTGTAACTGAGATCAGAAACTACCCCTGCTTATTTAAATTTGCTACATCCTCTATTTTTTATGTTTACTACCAACCAGGAATAATAATAATAGCAATTTTGCTGAATAAATCATTTGCTATTTTGGAGGATGCAATTTTTAAAAGGCATTGTTTTATTACTGTTCAACTTGATGCTGAGAGCCCAGTTCATCCAAATAGCCCTAAAGGTAAGTACACAGTGTCTAGCTGACTGTGATATTTGTATCAGGACTGGTGAAAGAGTTAGAACAGGCATTTCTCATCATTCTGCTTAACTGGCTTTAGCCTGTGGAACAGGTGTTGGTATGGCTGCTGCCTTGGACTGTGAACTCTTGGGGGATACAAATGCCTTTTAGTTTTGTGTCTGTGCAGTGTCCCACAATTTGGGATTGGGCCTGTCCCAGAATCTGGGGTCCCATAGCTCTGTCTGTGGCAGGTAGGGAAGAAAGGATTATAGTGACCCAGCCCCACTCACCTCGTGACAGTTTGGGGCTACTGCTAATTGGCCTGCCACCATTCACCCCGTGGCTGCTTGGCCTTCCCCCCGCTTGCCTCACTACTGTCATGGCTTGCGCTGCCTCTACTACAGCAAGTGGCTACTTGCCTTGCTGAAGCCACTGTTTGACTTGTTGCTGCTCCCACCACTGCCTTCCCCACAGCTGCTGGCCCTGCTGTCAGTCCAAATCTGGACCAGAGCATGGGGTGAGTTTGATACCCCTTGCTTCCTGACAATCCTGCATTAATTGCCATTCTAAAGTACTTTGCTTAGGTGGACAGAGACATATTTATACATCAATTATTGAGAAGATATTCCACTTGCTACTGCAAGTAGCCCCTCAAAGTTCCATAAAAGATGATGCTTATATAAAGGCGGGTATCTATTTCACAAGCCCTTGCATTGGAAAAAAACTACATTTGCAAAGGGTTTACAGCTGGGGTACACAGCACATGGCCCATGGCATGTATGCAGCCCACCAAGACAACCCCAAGACCAGTCATAATTTCTACTAAACCACTCATTCCTTCATTTGACATGAAGATCAACATAGAAAATGTTTTGAAACACAGAAGAGTGAGTCCATCTGTTCTTCAAATTGCATCCTTGTTGTGTGATGGCTTGTTGATCTGCATGTGAGCCTAATGGTGTGGACCAGTTTTCTCCTAGCAATGTGATGCTTCCTGCTAAGCATGTCCCTTAGGAAGTGTATATTGTAAGTGGTCTTCACTAAGATTTCAAACAAGAACAGCACCTCAAAACTGTGCACCCATGGAAAGGGCACATAGCTAGAATCTAAGTCCATTTTCAGACTAATTTAAAAGTGTCACAAACAGCTGTACTAGAATACAGAGTTGCTCCTGTACAGAATAAGCAGTGAACATGCTCATGTTGTCTGCAGGGAAATGTTCTGCAAATGGACCTAACCCAAGACCAGACATCACAGTGGCTGTGGCCTCAGCATTTCCCATGGGGAGGGGTGGAATTCCACTGGCTTGTTGCTTTGCCTACCTTTACATTGTTAATAAAATACAAACCCAATGAAGTGAAGCGAAGAATAAAAATAATAATAATTGTGCATTATTACTGTTATTGTAAGGAAGCTGCCAAAGAAAATCAAAAGCAGAAATTTCCTTTTGTTTGTCATTAGTCAGTGTTGTAGAGTAATCTAAACTGTGCTTTGATACCAGCTTCAGTAATGATGAAAACATTTAAAAATATTCATAATTACAGACGATGGAGCTCTCCCAACTTGCAGAGAGTCTAATGTGTTCTTCAGTCCCTGCTTGTTTTGCTTTAAGGCTCTGCTAATTTATGGAACACGTTTCTTAGAAAACGCAGCATTTCCTCATTTAAACAAGGGGAAAACAACCTTCCAAAAGAAGGGCAAATTTGTGATGATAATACTGAACTCAGACTCCAAAAAAATCATCTTGCCTCTACTGCTGGTCTGCAAAATTGCGATAAAAGTCAGTCCTGTTTTCCATCCTGAGTCTGTCTTATCCTATTCATCTGGCAAGTCCTTTGGAGCAAGGACCACTGCTCATTATGTGACTGAATAGTGAGCAGTGAAACCTTTATTGAAACCTCCATCTGCTGACCTTGCAAAAATAACCACATATGATCAGGCTTTGTCGATTTACCCTCCATTATCTTTAAATGCAATGAGGTTCTGTGTCCCTAAAATACAATGGCAACATCATATGGCAATGTGGGCTCCCTCATTTTCAACAATATGATAAATACAATGGCAACGTGGGCTCCCTCATTTTCTTCGTCTGCACAGGGAGGCGTGTGTGAGCACCAGGGAACTTGCACTGTACTGCTCTCCTCTCTTTTTCCCCTGTACAAGAGCTTTGATCTCCTCTGTGCCAAAGGTGGCTGGGGAAGAGGAGAGGGAGAAGTTGGCTGGGATCCTGTGGAATTGCCCCACTACTAAACATGTCATGCTCCAGGACCTGGCTTCACTACCTTCATGCCATGCTGTGATGAATGCCCCACCTTCTTCCTTTTGCTCTGCTCATTCCACATCCTAGGACACCTATCCATGTGATGGACAACTGCTTAATTAAGATTAAAATTAGTCAGATCTGCTGGAGCATCCCACAGCATGCTCCTGTGGGATGCTCCATCTGCCCCACTATCTCAGCGTTCACGAGCCATGCCTGATACCTCGAGATATATAGAAAAAGTATATAAATCTGTGTCCGTGGCCGAATTGCTTATTCTCTGAATTAGAATCAAATCTTCAGATTCAGCTGAATCAAATCAGGACAGTGATCCGAATCAGTGAATTGAATCACTCTCCCCTGAATCAGGCCGAATCAGAATCGAACACGGCCCGCTTCACAGACCCCTAGAAATATTTCCTGTTTAACAAGTGTTAAACTGCCTCAGGCTTTTTTCCAACTTGTTTCCTCTGTAGACACTAGGAAAGACCAACCAGATCAATGGGTTTTAAGTTCTGAGCTGATACAATGTTTGCTCTTCTGAGTTCTCCAATTAAGTCTGATTACACTGTGCAGTGAGAGTCCAGTTGGTTATGGGATTTCCTGGAATAGCTGAGACGAGCTAAGCATCAGAGAGGCCTGCCAAGGACCACAACATGAAAGCAGGAGATGATGGCACAGAAACAGTCCTGCAGCATGTCTGACTGAGACCCTTTATCAGACCTGAAGTAAAATGACCCCAGGGGTTATATGGTGACTCAGAGGGTGTTTCACTTGCCCTGACCTTGCCTGTGGTCCTGTTAGTCCTTTCAACCTGTGCCCACAAAGAGAACTTCTGGATGCAGGAATTTTTCTGAAGTGACTATACAGGATCTGCTGCACAGCTCCTTCTGGCTCACAGTACCCTCTCTAGCTATTTAGTCAGGGACTGTGCATAAAATGGGAAAATGATGGCCATGCTGGGCCTGACCTAAAGGCCACTGAAGTCAATGTGGGTATCTGCATTACTTAAATGGTCTTTAATTTACAAGCCTGGCCCTGTAGTTGTTTCATTCAGGGCCTTGTTACACAGTAATTCTGGGTAGCTCTTGGAGCTATTAATCCCTGGATTGTCTCCAGATTAACACTTTAAAGTGGTTTTAAAAACCCTTTAAGCAGCTCAAATTTACACCATTCCAGGCAGAATTATTTTTGATCTGCACTACCCAGCTCCTGTTCCATTAAGGTGGAGACACTCCCCACAGATATGCCACTCAAGTTCAAGTCCTCCAGTATCACAGGACCTCTCACACCCCCACCCGTAGAGCAGGGAAAGAAGCCTACCCTGCCTCACCAGCTCTCTGGTGGAAACTCACAGCTACAGCTCCTAGTCCTGACCCTGCTCACCAGGCCTCTAGTGGCAAGACACAGCTGTGCAGGGACAGTCAGAGAAGGCTTCTAGACTAAGGGCGTAACTGCTCCAAATTCCAAGATAGAGCTAACACCAATCAATATTTGTGCATCTCAGCATAATGTGTAACAAGGTCCTCAGTGCTCAGGAATTATCAGGACCTTCCTTAGAGACACATGAGGCTCAATCACAACCTTGTCAGAGCTCAACTTACACTTTATCTGTGCCGTAGCTCCTGTAGTCGACTGCTGCTGACACTGCCACTATCAATGCGGGCATCCCGTAGCCGACCAGGTAGAAATACTTTCTCCGTGAATGTTCACTCTCAAACACCTCTACTAGCATGATGTACAGCTGCACGCCCTCCAAGAACATCCAGGTGAATGCCGCCAGGAAGAAGAAGTGCAGGAGGGCAGCAAACACAGCACAGGCAATCTGGGAGATTCAATATAGCAAAGGAAGGGGTTGATTCTAAGCCAAAAATAAACAATAGTTAAAAAACCCACCACATTTATTGCAATCATGACATTCATTTTAGAACTGCTTTCTGTGCATCTTGAGTGGAAACCAATTTATAAAAACCACAGAATAGGAGCCACAGAATAGGAAAAGGGATGTGAGAACACATAATTCCAGTGCACAACCTTTATTTCAAGGACATCTGAAATCAAATCAGCCCTGAGAAAATACAGTGCAGGGTCTCAGTTTGCATGGACAAGTGAACAGACATCCCCCACAGTGGTTTTTGCAATCTTCAGCTTCCATGAGGACTTGATGCTCAAGGGTTCTAGCAAAGTATTCCTGT